AATAAAGTTTGTAAATTAATTCTATACCCTTGCAGGCAGCATTATGCAACATAATGAAAGAAACAGAAATAAGAAAACCTTCATACTATGACCCCTTCTGCCACTAACAAGCTGTGTGACCTTGAGCAAGTAAACTCTCTGGGATATGGTATCCTCTTCTATCAAATAATGACCTCTAAGATCTTTCTAGTTCTAATAACCAATGAGAACAATTTAACATTTTAATAGGATATAAATTCTTCTGGGGTGCCTGGGTGGCTCAGTGGATTAAGCCACTGCCTTCGGCTCAGGTCATGATCTCAGGGTCCTGGGATCGAGCCCCGCATCAGGCTCTCTGCTCAGCAGGGAGTCTGCTCCCCCCTCTCTCTCTGCCTGCCTCTCTGCCAACTTGTGATCTGTCAAATAAATAAATAAAATCTTAAAAAAAAAAGATATAAATTCTTTTAATGAAATATCATAAATGTGTGCAAACACAAAACAATTCAAACAAAATCAGCTTTTTTAAAAAAGATTTTATTTTTAAGTAATCTCTACACCCAACGTAGGGCTCAAACTTAGAATTCTGAGATCAAGAGGTGCATGCTCTACCAACTGAGCCAGCCAGGCACTCCCAAAATTAGCTTTAAAAAAAAAAACTAATTTAAAAAAATGAATTTTAAGTAGTCACAAAATGGGAGCTAATTGAGTTTTTAAACTTACACAGTTGGATCAATATAAATAAGAAATTTAAGGGGCGCCTGGGTGGCTCAGTGGATTAAGCCTCCGCCTTCGGCTCAGGTCATGATCTGGGATTGAGCTCTGCATCAGGCTCTCTGCTCAACAGGCTCCCTCTCTCTCTGCCTGCCTCTCTGCCTACTTGTGATCTCTCTCTCTGTGTCAAATAAATAAATAAAATCTTTAAAAAAAAAAAAAAAAAAGAACCATAGTCAAGGGCATCTGGGTGGCTCAGTCGGTTAAGCATCTGCCTTTGGCTCAGGTCATGATCCCAGCGTCCTGGGATCTAGTCCTGCATCAGGCACCCTGCTCAGTGGGAGCTTGTGCACGTGTTCTCTTAAAACTAAATAAACTAGGGTGCCTGCGTGGCTCAGTGGGTTAAAGCCTCTGCCTTCAGCTCAGGTCATGATCCCAGAGTCCTGCGATCAAGTCCCATATCGGGCTCTCTGCTCAGCAGGGAGCCTGCTTCACTTCCTCTCTCTCTGCCTGCCTCTCAGCCTGCTTGTGATCTGTCTGCCAAATAAATAAATAAAATATTTTAATAAATAAATAAATAAAATTTTAAAAATTTAAAAAGAACGATAGTCAAGGTTTACTTTTTTTTCAATACCTGAAGTATTTCTCAATAAAAAAAGAAGTTGAAATAGAGCATTTCTCCTACATCTGTAGTTTTACAGCTTTTAAAATAAGATTTCATTATTTCAGGGGCGCCTGGGTGGCTCAGTGGGTTAAAGCCTCTGCCTTCAGCTCAGGTCATGATCTCAGGGTCCTGCGATCGAGCCCCACATCGGGCTCTCTGCTCAGCGGGGAGCCTCATTCCTCCTCTCTCTCTCTCTCTGCCTGCCTCTCTGCCTACTTGTGATCTCTCTCTCTCTGTCAAATAAATAAATAAAATCTTTAAAAAAAAAAAAAGGTTTCATTATTTCAGTAATTCATTCTTAAAATCACAAAAACACTTTTAATTACTCACGCCTATCCTCAAACACATTATAGCTAGTGAAGTGAAGGGAAGATAACTGCATACAGCAATGCTGCTTCTATAACTAAACTAATTCTGAGCATCGAAAAATTCAGCAAGAAAATGAATTGAAAACACAGGTCATAGAAGGCCAAGCCCTGTCTATAACACTTTCCTTAAAAAGTGATGAATAGCGAAAAACTACTCCAAACACTCATAACTTGATGTTTTAATCATCTAACAAGAGTGGAAGGTGAATATTATTTTTTTCTATAACACTATATTTCAGCCAGAAACAACCTTAGCTAATAGACTATCACAATGTGACAATTCCTGCCCTACCTCTGAAACACGCATATTCATTTAATACACAGGAATATCCTCTGAAACACATGCTACTTTATCACCTCCATTTTAGGGATGGACAAACAGGATTTACAAGTGCCTCCTTGCTCAAAGTTACACAGCTGGTAAGTGGCATAGTACCTGCTCCTAACGAGTGCCTTCATTTAAACTTTAAACTCCCCTTTCTAAATGATGTCACTATTTTCTCCCCATGCTGCCTTCATCCATCTACAAAGGAAGCCTTGAAACAAGTAAACCTCTAATTTAAGTAGCACCCCAGCACCTAAATACAGCAGAGCCGTCACTATAACCTCTAAAACAAAGTCTCCTGTAATGAGAACTCAAACATAAATTTTAAGATGCCAATCTTTTAGCCCATGTTTCATCCTTTTCTTTCCTAACCTCCATTGGAAAAACACGGTTGGGCGGAAAGAGGATCATTCTCAAAGCTTAAATTCCAAGTTTCTTAAATTTGGCAACAATACTGTGCTTTGAGACTTTAAAATTATAAGCACGGTTCTCAGAGGAAAACATTTCCTTTATTAGCAGTTGGCTTTGAAAATTCCATTCTAGGATGCTAAATATAACCAAATACCTCTGACTTCTAATAAACACATTCTCCAGATTATTTTGAAACTAATGGTTGCCTGCTTATTTACAAAACAATTTTGCCACGACCATTAAGCAAATCGAACATTTTAAAGACTCTTTCAAATTTGTTCCAGTTCTTTTAATGAACTGACCTGGTATTATTTTCTGAATTCTTCTACTATGAAATAAGAAAATTCTCATTTCACAATTCATTTCTTTAAAGAAACAGCCTTGTTTTATTCTAATTTTCTTAAGTTTTAACATAAGAATATCAGCAAAGCCAGAATCATGGAAATAGGTTTTTTAAACTATGAAATAGAGAATTTTTAAAGATTCTATACATTCATCAAAGGTACATAAAGCATTTCACAGTTCTTAAAATGTATCTTTATTATTAAAAATACCATACTTGGTAGTTCAGAAATACTGAATAACAGGACAGGGGAGGAGCTGAGTGCCTTGTTCCGGGCTAATGGACTACATCAATCAGGTTTTTAACTGAACGCATAGCTGCTGTGTTTTAGGGAACAAGCACTTAGTGGAGCTCACAACCCCAGGCATTCTGTCATTGTACAAGCATTTCAAGGGCAGTTGTAAAAACTTAAGGTACCTTTAGCTGGACAGCTCCTCAAGTTCTCCCTACCTAAAACATGGAATGAGAAAATAATTAAGACTCAACTGCAACTTTTTCTCTGGGAGATGGATCCAAGGAGTGGGAAAGGTAAAAACTTTCACCTCACAATCCCATGGAGGGGGGTGTTTGTTTTCACCATTAAGTATGTCTATTACAAATAGCTTTTCCCTGGCTATTTTGCCTTCTTTTGTCTCCCTGTCTTCATAGCTTTTAGGCCACAAAGTCCCATTAACATTAAATCTTAAACAGAGCTACCCAACCTCTAAACATCTAAATATTCATCAACTAATATATGCAGGATAGGGCAGAGTTCTTTCAGGCCCAACCAGAATATTTAATGGGAAGATAAGAGATTTCAAAGTACCGTTTCTCTGAAACTGACCCCTAACCTTGGGCTGAAACCCTAAATTTTCTCCAAAATGTATTCTAAAAATTAATATGAAGAGTGCTCCTTGAATGATCTACTGTCAACAGCAGGAACAAAAAGTTTGCTTAACACCCTATTATCTTTCACCCCAAACATGCATCCTTCTATAACTGCTCTGTTGACAACCTATCCCCAAAGTTTGTGCTTTCTTCCTTCCTGGTGTTTTCCCCAACATCCCTTTCCTCCAGTTAGCAAAATCTGCAAGCTACATACATAAGTGGGTGCTGTAGGCCTGGGGTAGTCCTGGTGTAGAACAACAGGGATTGGTGGCTACAGCTGTTCCTCAGCTCCAGTCCCATGTTAATCAGGTCAGACTATGATGGCAGATCTTCCAATTATTCACATAGGCCTGAAATTCACAGTTAGGAGGAACCTTCTGGTCTTTAAAATAGCATGTGAACCAAAGAGAACATATGCAGGATACCCACTGGCAACCCCCAAGTTAATTAGGGTCTTCCATTCTGACCCAGGCTCCCTCGCTCCATTCTACACATCACTGCCAGATCCATTTACCAAATACACTGCTCCTGAAGCTCGAACTATTACCGCCAAGTCTCAACCCTTACGCTGTCATTCAACGTCCACAGAACCAACCACTCTCACCTTCCTCAACTCCCCTACACAAATCTTTGATTTCAGTGAAAGGTGTCTGTCTACTCCCCTCATCCCTCACCCCCGAACCAGCTGCGTCCCCGCCAAGATGGCCTCTTTTTTACCCTCCTGCTCTACCCCATCAATGCCCACACTTGAAGCAGGAAACCTACGCTGGGAGTATACCTTCCAAGACCTGCTGACGACGTGAGTCAAGAAACCTCTCTGCTTAATTTAAAGCCAATAGATCTCACTTTCAAGAAAGAAATGAAATCTCCTAAGAGGCAAATCCCATGGCCTTGTCCTGATAGCCGCCTCCTCGCCCAAATAACATTGTAAAGGGAAGCAGAGAGCCTTAGACCGGCTCAGATGAGTCTCCTGCCAAAGAAGGCTTTGCGGGGTCCCGATGTTTCCACACCAGGAAGGCCTCGGGGACGTGGGGAACTAGAACGGGACCTCAACCAACGCTGCGAGGCAGGTGGCCCCGCGCAACCTCCCGCGCGCTCCTTCCTGCGCCCCGGAGATGCCATCCCCAACCAGTCCCCGGAGCCGGGGTTCCGACATACCCCCCCCTTCACGCGCTCCGCCAAGCCCCCCACCCAAAGACCCCCGGTGCTGCCCGGGGCCGCCGTCGGCCGCGACAAAAGGGTCAGAGAGCGAGACGACCCCTCTGCGTGCGGCCCCGCGGACCTCCGGGGGGCGCCGCTGCCCGGCAGCGCCAACCCAGACGCCGCGGCTACCTTGTCCTCGGGCGCCGCGTCCGGCTCGCGGGCCGCCCTCTGCCTCAGCTCGGTCATGCTTGGAGACCCCGGCGCGACGTCGCGGCAGGCGACCAGCGCAGCCGCAGGAGCCGGCAGCTCAGTGCGGGCGCGCGCGGACTCCGCTCGGCCGGCCCCGCCCCGCCTGAGCGGCTCTCAGGACCCACCAGAGCCCGGCCGCCGGCCGTGGAACTCTGCCCCGCCCAGCGCCGCCGCCGCCCTTTCACCCGGGCGGAACACAGCCTGCTCTAGCACCGGCCCGCTCACTCGGCTAGGGAGGAGGGCCCCCAGAGCGAGCGCGCACGCGCACCGCCGCCATCACGGCCGCAGAGATCCACCAATGGAGCGAATGCTTCAGGGAGGCGGAGTTCTGGGGGCGGGGAGGAGTGTAACAGAGAAGCGTGCATTGGACTAGCTGCGAGAGGAGGCGGGAAAAGGCGTGTGTTTCCTAAGGAAACTAGCCAATGGGAGCTCCGGCCTGACAGCGGAAGGCTGGCGCTGGCGCCCTGAATCCCAGGGGCAAAATGAGTAGCCGGGTCGAGAAGCGGCATCCTCCAAGCTGTAGCCTGGAGGATGGTGTTTGCTCTAGGCTTCGCGTTCTCCGAAGCCAGGGCTCGTACCTCACGCATACAGGTAGACACTTGTTAGGCCCTAAAGTGGAAAAGCCCGAGGAGCCTCCAGTGTAAGAGAAGACGCCCACGTGATAAGGAAGTGAAACCCAAACTTTAGTCGGCTTTGCTTTACCAAGCTGTCTCTAGTACTACTTATGGTTAATTATGCTAGCCACTGAACTAAGTAATCGCTTTATCTCATTGAAGCCGCCGGGAAGCAGATAGGATTTTTATTTTACAGATAAGATCTTCCACGGTTTTTCAAATTTCCGTCTTCTGGACTGTTGAAAGACCTTTTCTTGGACAGGAATGCTGCCTACTTCGTTCGCAGTCGATCCCCTGTGTACCTGAAATATACTTAGTACTTGAATGGATTTAAAAATTCTCCTAAAGGAAGGGCATTTGGGTAGCCTAGTCGGTTAAGCGTCTGCCCTCAGCTCAAGTAAGGATCCCAGGGCCCTAGAATTGAGCCCCCCGTTGGACTCCCTGCTTATTGGGAAGTCTGCTTCTCCCTCTCCCTCTGCCCCTCCCTCCGCTCGTGTTCTCACTTTCTCTTGCTCATTCTCCCTCAAATAAAATCATAAAAAAAAAAAATTATCCTAAGGAAAACTAGTTAACCAAGGTCTCATACCTACAAAGTACCCACTAGGAATTAGAACACAGATACGTTTGTTACCAAAGCCCATGATAACCATTGCACATACTTCTGGCTTCCTAAATTCGTTGTTAATACCTGTGTTGTCAAACATTGCTTTCAGCGGTCCCTATTCTCTGCTTTGTGAGTAATGTAAAACAAGTATGAAATGGGTTCCCTTCCCATAAGCATACTGTAATTTAACAAGGAGAGAAAGCTGCGCAGGTAGGAGTTGCAATTTTGCAATTTTATGTTACCAGTTATGACCTTAGCTGTGGGTTCTGGGTACAGTAGTGAGAATTCTGAGAAAAGCATTCTATTTTCTTGATTTCTGTAAGTATATTCCAAAGTTCCTGTAACTGCTTCACAGTGACGGTAAACTAGGTGTGGAGGAATTCTGAACTCCTGGTGTGCTTTGTTCCCTACCAACAACATTGCACAAATACTTAGTGGGTTTTGGCCAGGTGGGGGTGGACAGGCCGGACTCGACATACATGACAGACCACTCCTTTCAGTCCATAATTTATTTATAGAAAGCTTTGCTTTTGTATTTAATTTTGTCTTTTGTTTCGACCTTACAAAAGTAAATAGCACAGTGATGGTAATCTTAAAGCTCTTTTAATCTCTGGAGGACTCTGACCACGATTTTGACCAATGTCAGTGGTTACTTCATCTAAAAACCAGGCACCTCTTGAGTAAATTACCCCAGGTTTATTATCTAGAAGATGTAGGAAGGATGTAAACACAGAGAAAGCCACAAGGTCATCCTCTGAGATAGAGATAGATAGAGATGTATCCAAATCCTCACCCTTAGGGTATGTAATTGTGAAAGCTCACAACTAAACATGCATCAATCCTTCCAAATCAACTATTGCCTTTCAAACCTAGCCTAATAGAAAGGAGGCTGGTAGAGCACTGCATATAAATCAGTTTCAGAATGAACAGTATGATTACTAGGTTGGATAAGCCCTACAGTTTGGCCAGAACAAACTTCTCAGCCATTGCTCTCAGCCCTCCCAGGCTGAGCTTAAACCAAGTACATTTCTGAAGTCAGTGCTGTAGAGAACAGGAAGCAGTATTCAGACCGGGGAAAGTCATACTAATAGGCCTTTAGGCAAGCTTTAGGGTTTCTCTATGTATAAACTGTAGAAAGAAATGAAAAGTAAAAATCTCCCCCTACCTCCGGCCCAAAGAAAAATTTTGATACTTTTTTTTTTTTTTTTTTTTAAGATTTTACTTATTTAGGGACAACTGGGTGGCTCAGTCGGTTAAGCTGCTGCGTTAGGCTCTGGTCGTGATCCCAGGGTCCTGGGTCCGAGTCCCACATCGGGCTCCTTGCTCAGCAGGGAGCCTGCTTCTCCCTCTGCCTCGGCCTGCTTGTGCGCTCGCTCTCTCTCTCGCTTTCTCTGACAAATAAATAAATAAAATCTTTTTTAAAAATAAAGATTTTACTTATTTATTTGAGAGAGGAAAAAAAAACAGACAAGCTGCAGGAGCAGCAGAGGGAGAAGCAGGCTCCCCACTGAGCAGGGAGCCTGAATTGAGGGCTCCATCCCAGGACCCCAGGATCATGGCCTGAGCTGAAGGAAGATGCTTGGCTAACTGAACCACCCAGCTGCCCCAGATCCTTACATCACTTTATACTTCCTCCTCTATCCCTGATTTTTCTCTTCTTTTCCTCATATTATCTCTTTCTTCTAGGCTCATTTCTTTCAGTCTTATGGCATATCTTGTTTACAGAGACTTCTTTTCATTGCATTCCTTGATTAGCTCCCATTATTTTTATAAAGATTTTATTTATTTGAGAGAGAGCACGAGCAGGGGGGGGAGGGGCAGAAGGAGAAGGAGAAGCAGGCTCTCTGCTGAGCAGCGAGCCTGACACTGGGCTCTATCCAAGGGACCTTAGGATCATGACCTGAGCCAAACGCAGACTCTTAGCTGACTGAGCCCCCCAGATGCTCCTCCCCAAGTGTTTCTAAGGGGCAGCTAGACTTGAGACTCACTCTAATACATGACATCACCTTATAAAGAAAGTTGCCAGAAATTATAAAAAATAGTTTACAGCATTTTCTCTTCCAGCATTCATTAACATTTTTCTGATCAATAATACATGTCTGATAAAGTGTGGAAAATGCATAAATGTATAATAGAAAACATTAAAATCATTAGTGATACTATGGGCCATGGGTAACTACTATTGTTATTTATATTACTGCATTTTCATTCTATTTTCTAGATGTAACAGTTTTAGAAAATTGGAATGCTACTATTTATACCATTTTTTTTAAGATTTTATTTATTTATTTGTCAGAGAGAGTGAGCACAGGCAGACAGAATGGCAGGCAGAGGCAGAGGGAGAAGCAGGCTCCCTGCTAAGCAAAGAGCCTGATGCGGGACTCGATCCCAGGATATTGGGATCATGACCTGAGCTGAAGGCAGCTGCTTAACCAAATGACCCACCCAGGCGTCCCTATTTATACCATTTCTTAACCTGACTTTTCTTTTTATCATTAAATGTTCTTTAAGAATGGTATTTGAGGAGTGCCTGGGTGGCTCAGTGGGTTAAGCTTCTGCCTTCGGCTCAGGTCATGATCTCAGGGTCCAGGGATCAAGCCCTGCATTGGGCTCTCTGCTCAGCGGGGAACCTGCTTCCCCCTCTCTCTCTGCCTGCCTTTCTGCCTACTTGTGATCTCTGTCAAATAAATAAATAAAATCTTAAAAAAAAATGGTATTTGAAATGCTGTTTGATATTCCCTTTTGTGATTTACCATAATTTACCTCATGACATTTGTTAGACCTCAAGGTTATGTCCAATTTTAGAGGAATTTTTAATAATTCTGGAAGTTTTTTTTTGTTTGTTTTTGTTTTTTTAATGTGATAGACTCCAGGCTTGGTATGGAGTCCAACACAGGGCTTGAACTCACAACCCAGAGATCAAGACCTGAGCTGAGATTAAAAGTTGGGTGCTTAACCAACTGAGTCACTCAGATGCCTCTCTATAAGACATATTCTTTTTTTTTTTTTTTTAACTTTTATTTATTTATTTATTTGACAGGCAGAGATCACAAGTAGGCAGAGAGGCAGGCAGAGAGAGAGGAGGAAGCAGGCTCCCTGCTGAGCAGGAAGCCGACATGGGGCTTGGTCCTAGGACCCTGGGATCATGACCTGAGCAGTGGCTTTAACCCACTGAGCCACCCAGGTGATGCTATAAGACATATTCTTAAATGTGCTTCATCTTGGTAAGTACCTCTGATTACTTCTTTAGGAAAAAAAACCCTAGAGATTGAATTTGGGTGTCAAGGAATAAATAAAATTTGAAGACTTTCATACACATTACCAAATTACTACCAGAGAAATTATACAATTTATACTCTAATCTTCAATGCATAAAAGTGCCCAATTCCTTGATTTCTTCCTAACAATTAATATTGACATAATTTTCATTAATTTGGTAGATTAAAATTCTGTCACCCTTTAATTTACTCTTCTTTGTTTTGTAATGTGGCTAACCATTTTGTTCATACACTTACTAAGATAGAGCCTTGGACACTGCAAGCTAGCTACTTCTGGCTTTTGTTTGGATGCATAAAGTCCCCTTTTCTCTTGATCACTTTGAACTAATTCTGTGTCATGGAAACATAAAATGTACTAACCAATACAATGCTCTTAGCCATACTGAAGTTTTAAAACTTAGTCATTTAGTAGTCATTCCTTAGTTTCATGGAGATTATCCTTTTATGTTTAGAAGCCTGTAGCAAGATCTCATACATATTTACCAAAAGACTTTTACACATCTTATTGGGTTTATATTTATTTGAAAAAAATTTTTTAAAGATTTTATTTTTAAAAAGGGGATCAACCCCAAGGTCAAGAGTCCCATGCTCTATTGACTGAGCCAATATTGATTTGAATTTTGAATTTATTTATTTGAATTTTAACTCTTTAATCTATCTGGAATTTATTTTGGGGAACAGTTGTTAGGAAGAGTCTATAGCTTTATTATTTCCTAGACATTTAGTCAAGTTTG